CTTAAAACTGACATTAAACCCAATGACAGATGAGTTTCTATTTCAAGACAATAAGAACCATACTGTCTGTATAAATCCAACAAAAGGAACTTTAAACGAGAAACCTATAATGAACTTCTTTTGAAAGCAGATGTTGACAACAAAGCTGACAAAGAATATGTAGACGATGCAATAGCAAAAGAAGAAGAAAGAGCTAACAATGCTTATGCAACAAAAGAACATACTCATCCTGAACTAGCAGACAAAAACATATGTTGACAATAAAATGTCAAGTGAAGTGACAAGAGCTGAAAACGAATATTCTAAAAAGACTCATACACATTCTATATCTGAAATAACAGACTTAAACGTTAGCCTTGAAAAGAAAGCAGATAAGGAATATGTGGCTAGTAAGTTAGAGAAGAAAGCGGATAAGGAATATGTGGATGAAAAAGATAACGAAATTATAGAAAGGGTTGACTGGTACCATGAATGGACATCGAAGATTTTAAAAACTAAAGCCGATACAGGATGGGTTTCAGGATGTTTAGACCTTAAAGCAGATAAAACTTATGTTAACGATGAGTTAGAGAAGAAAGCAAATAAGACTCATACACATACAAGTTTTACAACTTTTACAGCAGACGACATAATATTGAACTTTGACCTTGGTTCAAGTGCACCTTTAGAGAATCCAAGTACAAGCGTAAAAGATACACTAAACAATTTAGATAACAGTTGCAGGAACATTGAAAGTCATGCCAGAAACTTTGAAGCATATGAACTACCAGAAATGTTAGATAAGAAGGCTGACAAAACAGAGCTTCAAACATTAAAGACTGAAATACTTCAAACATTATATCCTGCAGGCTCTATTTATACGTCAATGAACTCTACCAGACCAGAAGTAGTACTTGGTTTTGGAACTTGGACTCAAATAGTCGACAGGTTTTTGTATTGTGCAAACTCTTCAAAGGAAACAGGTGGAAGTAAAACGATTTCAGGTGAAAATTTACCTGCACACAGTCACTACATAGATTTAAGTACATCTCAAGCAGGTTGGCATAAGCATAAATTTTGGGATTGGTCAGCAATGACAAAAGGTAAAGGATATGATGTTAAAGACAACGTTCAGTTTGCTATAAATTGTTTCTGGGGTAACACTCAGGGAGATGGAAACCATACACATCGCGTTTCGGGATATACGCAAACAACGGGACAAAGTAAAGAATACATGCCACCTTACATGACAGTTTACGCATGGTATAGAAATGCTTAGTCGTCATTTTCAACTTCTTTAGCATATTCGTCAGGAGTTGTCTTATATTGTTAGGAACTGTCTTTGAAAGTATACCACCTTGAACTTTGACAAGTTTGAAACGAGGTCTGACAATAGTAGTTTTATCTTCTGCTTGCAGTGTGTACATTTTGCCATGTTTGCCTAAAACTTCATAATATTCTCTTGTATACTTTCTTCTATTTTTACGAACACGAACGTGAGTACCTGTCGGGTTCCCATTGTTGTCATAGTCAATAGTATTTTCATATGGGTCGCGTTTAGGTATTTCTATTTTTACTTTGTCACCTTTCTGAAGTTTGAAGCCCGGCATTCTTTCTTGTTTGTCTCTTTTGACTAAATTATTAAATATATAGTCTTTCTCTAAGTCAGGGTTGTTTTTCATTTCTTCGGGGGAGTGGTTTCCCAAACCTTTTTGTTTACGGCTATTGTAAATATTTAAAACTTGTCTCATCTTTGCCATGGAGAAGTGTCTATACTTGTCGTCATATGACATTTCATTTGCTTCACCACCTTGTGGTTGGTTTAAGTCTCTTAACATTTTTATACAACCGTCAATGACACCAAGAGCAGAATGGTTTTGGTCGACAATGAAATATTGGTTTACATTTTTTGAACGCAGATAGTTTTTTACATCATCTGATTTGAAAGAACTTTCACAGTCAGATGTCAGTTTTGTTGGATGGTATTTGTCAACGAATATTGTCAAAGCAGTTTTCACATCTAAAATATTTTTGGACCATAATGGTATGGCTTCACAGTATCTTGTGTTTTGACCGACAAATATTAGCCAGTATGGTGGTCCATCTGTTCTAACTCTCGGAATGTTTTCCAAGATATCCATAAACCAAGCATTTGGTGTTGAACTAAAGATTTTTATCATGAGTGCTTTCTTTGTTGCCTTAGAAACATAGGGGTCCTTGTTTGAATTCGTCATTTTTTAACCCATAAGAAATGGGTTTATTTGGCGCATTAGCAGGAGTCGCATCTAGATTTTTACCCGCAGTGGGAACAATAGCCAGAGGTGTATTTGGAGTTGGAAGGAAGATTTTGAGTACATTAGGTATACTTAAAGAGAAAGCACAACCTATTATACAAACTGTACAGAAAGGTTGGGATGTAGCACGAGATGCAACAAATCTTATTCCAAATCCTGAAACAAGAGGAAAAGTTCAAGGATGGATGGACAATGTAGGAAGACAAGCAGGAAACTATTATAACAAAGCAAATGACTACTATAACCAAGCAGGACACTATATGGACCAAGGTGAAAGATTCTTTAACAGAGGATATAACCATGCACAACAGTGGGTAAACAATAACCAACCGCAACCACCTCAAACTTGGGGAATGTAAATTTTTTTACTGAGATGAAATGAACAATACAGCATTGAGACAAATGGGTTCAAGATGGATTTGTCGGCTTCCAGCAGTTACACAACGTGTTTGTCAAGTTCTTCCTATACCTCAGGAAGTTTTAGACCGACTTAAAAAACAACAACAACCAGTTGAAAACAAACCGAACTAAAAATTTTTACTGAGATGAAATGACCGAAGAAGTTGAAACGGTAGATTTGACACCACAAACAAAAAGTTCAGAACCATTGTCAAAACCTGTCAAAGAACTTACAGATGAAGAGAAAAATTCAATAATAGAAAGTGCCAGGTCTGGAAATACAAACCCTAACTACAAAGTCACTTTTCATAAAAATGGAACGGCTAGTATCTCAAAAAAGAAACAGACTCTCACAAATAAAATATTGAAGTCTGAAGGAGCTTTCGAGACAACAGATGGAAAAGTTTACTTCACTGACCAACAGTTCATTATAGAACATCTCATTGACTTAGAGTCGAAATATTCTAAACTTTACAACAAACACAAAAAGTTGAAAGGAAACAAAAACAAATGGCATATGATATTTATGAAGATGTTGACGACACAACTGTTCCTGCAAGTGAAGTAAAGTCAGAGAAACCGAAAAGTGACGAAAAACCGATAGAAGAAGAAAAACCAAAAACTGAAGATAAACCAAAACCAAAGTTTAGTTTCCAAACTAAACCAAGTCAACCTTCATTAGCTGGTATGGGTTGGCGTCAAAGACTTATGGCAGCAGGCGGTTATGTAAAGTAAAGAAAAAATATTTTTTTATTTTTATAAAAAATGCCCCCATATAGAATGGATAGAAAATCTGCTAGAATAAAAGCAGAGTTGCAAAGATATGGTTGGAGAGTTTCGAAGAATTTTAAATATAGGAAGGGAAGACCCATAAAAGTCTATGACAAATTGTCTGGTCTTCGCTACGAAATGGATTTGGAAACAGCACGTGCAAATTATCCAAACAGACTAGAGAGGTTAGAAGAAGAACGTCTTATGAACATGCCTTTCGATGTTAGTGAACCTCAAGTTGAAGGACACGACGGCTTTGCCAGATTCTACTGGAAACATGACGAACAATTGCATCCTTTGAGAAGGAAAAAAGGTAGTGCAGAGGATGGTCATGCTCCCATGGAAAGAACAAGATATGCATATGAAAAGTACCGTGAAGTTAAGTCAAATTACTTCTGGTCGAACCTTTACAGTAAACTTTGACGAAGGAAAGAACAAAGAAGGCTTCATGGGTGTACTTGCTGCCATACAAGACGGAAATAAGAAAGGACACAATCTCAGATTGACCATAACGGATTTGGATGGTCACATTTACTATGCAAATGGCAATGAACAACAGCTGCAAAACTTCTTGACGCTTTCAAGACTACAAAGAGAGAACAAATGGTTGACTCCGACTCAGACATTTTGAATGCAATTGAAGGAATTGCAAGTGTCAAGTTCGAATGGTACCAACCTAACCCTCAAGCAGTCAGACAACATGCTGGATACTTTCCGTTCATAAATAAGTCTGACATTGACTTGACAAGGTATGGAATTTACAATTCAATTGAAACAATTGTCAATGAACCTTGTATTCTTACATGTCTCAGGAACTCTGGTCTTGTTTCAGAAGAGAAGATGAAGTATCTTGAGTCATGTGTGAAGACAAGGTACATTCTCAGAGGTCAATTGGCAAAAATTGCACCGTTGGCAAATGTCAATATCCGAGTCAACATACCTACAGCTAAAGGTTCTTCACATGACGACTATGTTGTTGACAAAGACTTACCATGGTTGAAGATTGTAATTGTCCACAACCACTTCATGTTGAACGAAAGTCTTACAAACCCATTGTTCGGAAAAGGCAAGTGCAACATTGTCAGAGCTGTAAACATTCTTTTCGAGAAAGGTTTGTTGGAACCAATTCCAGATGACAAGCTGACAGAAACTTTTGTACCAAAAGACGAAACAAACTTTTCACTGTTAGCAAGACCAAAAGTTGTTCCAGACAAAGTTCTAGTACAAAAGAAGTACACAATTCCACAAGGAGTTGGATTGTTCGGATACCAACCTGAACCAGAAGAACTTCCAATGAGGTTGCAAGAACTTCAAGATGCTACTATAAACAAACTTCCATTGAGACATCCAATTGACATCAAATTGTATTGGAGAGCATCTGAGTTAGGTCAGAAGGTTTTATATGAAACAGGTTGCTTCGACGATGTTTATGAGATAACAGGAGAAGTTTCTCAGAAGATAAGAGACTCACTTGAATTTCCACAAACTGGACCAATTGGTTGCGACAAGTTCGACTCAAACGAAAAGATATACTATGTCGACCTTAACGCTGCGTACATGAGGTTTGTCCAATATATTCCGACTGGAATTCCAAACGAAGATGGTGAGTTCCCGGGAAGGAACTATACAGTTGGAAAAGTCATACAACAACTGTATGATATTAGGAAAGCTTCAAACCCCAAACTTGCAATGACACTCAAATTGCTTATGAATTTGACATGGGGATATTCCATTAAGAAACCTCAAGAGATGAAGAGTAAACATTATGAGAAGGTCGACAACTTTGTTGAAAGGTTTTCTCCTTTTGTTTTGAAGTACGAATTCACTCAAGGTCAAAATGGCTTAGTAACCACATTAAAACCTATTGTCGAACATTGGTCTTACCCTCAGTTCGCAAAAGCAGTCCTTGACAACTACAACAAATTCTTCTCCGAAGTCAAATCGAAAGTCAAGGTTTACTATGAGAACATTGACGCACTCATGACGAACGAAGAAGGGTACAACAAACTCATTGAAATGGGCATGGTCGGTGAGAAGATGGGTCAATTCAAATTGGACAAAATTTTCACCGAAGTTCATGTCCTCTCCAAGCGTAAGTATTGGGGCATACTTGAAGACGGCACAGAAATAAAACATTGCATGAAATAAAAATTTATTTTTTAAAAAGTGACATTTTTTATTTTATTTGAAATGTACGCTGAGTTTGTTGGAGAAGACCGTTGGGAAACTTGTTTGTTAGATGAGAAATATGAAATGGCATACCATTTTAAAACAATATATTTTTACATATATTAAATGCTTCAGGTTGAAAAACAAAGAACAAAAGTAGCAGATACAAAACCGTTAGACTATATCTATACAAATGCTGGTAGGACTATTTCAGATGAAGAAATTTCATCCCGAGCATACAGGTTTGACTATCCAATTCGTTGGCTTCAAAGTCCTTCAGATGCAAAGGCAATAGGATTTAGAAGAGTTTTGTTTTCAAATAGAACTAACGCATTTATGTTCGCAGTATATTTTCATGGGCAGTATAAAGGTTCTGATGGTCTAATAGACAAATTCGACGAAATGAGAATCTTTACAGTTCGTTCAGACGAAAGTCTTGAGAAAACTCTAAATGACTTTCAAACTCAAATGAACAAATATTATTGGGAATTTCAAGAAAAATACGACTCTTTACTAAATGGAACATACTATCTGAAACTAGAATATGACAAGATGAACTCCACCGTTTCATTTCAAAAGATTGAAATTAACCCTCCAAGAGATACAGAGTTTTTATTTTGGAAAGTAGACAAACGTTCTTGGGCACAATTTCTTCGGTTACTAAACCAGAACGAACCATTACCACCAGATGGTCCATTTAAATTTATACTTCCACCAGCAGATTTGACAGTTTATAGAAACGTGTTTGACCCTCAAAATGTTATGTGTCATGCAAGTTTCAGTTCAAGCAACAATAGTTTTCTATGTATTGGTAAGGACTTTTATGACTTTGCTTCTAAATTCTACGAACCACCTAGTAACAGTTTCTCTGACTTTCAAGTTTGGTTCACAACAAATGGTGTGCAACATATTATTCCATTGTACTATGACTTTTATCTCGAATTGTCTTTCATATATAACTACGGAAAAGTGCTGAAAAAGTGAGTTTATGTTAGCATGTTAGATCTCACCTCTTTTCTCACCTCTTTTTTCACCCGTTGAATTTTCATGAATTTCCTTAAGATAGAAAAAAATAAAGTTTAGGGTAGATGGTTAGATCTAACACGTTTTCTAACCACTTTTCTAACATCATAGAAAACTCATGAAAACAATTTATTTTTGACATAAAGACGCAAAGCGGTGGGACATAGCCCAAAAAATAAAGTTTAGGTGAAGTGGTGAGATCTCACCTCTTTTTTCACCTCTTTTTTCACCTCTTTTTTCACCTAATTTTTCACCCGTTGAATTTTGTATAAAAACCAACCGCCGGAATTCCGGCGGTTGCTATATTCTTCACAAAATGCTTGTTTTGAGGTCGAGCCACTTTTGGCTCCACCGTATTCTTTCAACCAAAACTCATGAAATTTGGTCATTTTTCAGCAAAAATATATTTTAGGTGAAGAGGTGAGATCTAACCTCTTTTTTCACCTGTTTTTTCACCCGTTGAATTTTCATGAATTTCCTTAAGATAGAAAAAAAGTGAGTTAAAATGAGATGTTTACTGAAGGGGTCACCATGTCACCGGGTAACCATGTGTCACCAGGTAAACTAACTTCTTTTAAAAAATGAGACAACATGACATTTTGACAACAGTCGGGAAAATGTCAAGACTTCTTCATCGTAACGAGTGTAAATGAACCAAAAATATATTTTAGGTGAAGAGGTTAGATCTCACCTCTTTTTTCACCTCTTTTTTCACCCTCTTGAATTTTCATGAATTTCCTTAAGATAGAAAAAAAGTGAGTTAGTATTTTTAAAAAAATATTTTTTATTTTTATTGTAAGAACATGTTAGCAACAACTTCACCAAAATCTTTAGTTATGAACCCAACTTCAATGTTAGTAGAGATGAAAAGCTTCATTCCTTCTTCATATACTTTTGAGACAGAAATCCAGAAGATAAAGCAAGAACTTCTCCAAGGAGATTTAGATTGCACTGCAAAAGATGAAACAAATGAACAATATCTTTATGAAATGGAGGACCTGGTGGAACATTTACCCAAATTGCCTGAAATCCAACAACAAAAGCTTACTACTCCAGAATTCGATGAAATTGAAGTCAGACCAACCGACTCAGTAGAAATAAAGAAGTTCATACGTAAGGTTAACTATGAGTTTCTTGGATTTCATTGCAACCACAAAGTCATGGACAAAGACTGCGATATGGTATATTTCATTGACATATATAAATCTGAAGAATTTAAGACCTACGACAACTTTGTTTCGTTAGTTGCAAAATGTGTATGGCAGATAAGAGATAAAGATAGAAGAGGTAAAGTATGGAATGGACAAATAAAACCAGCAGCCTTTGAGTTAAAGAAAACCATTGACGCTATAGTTGTACTTGCAGGACAAATTTCAATGTACAATGCTAAAATGAACCCACAATGTTCTAAATGTAAAGCAGCAATGAGGAAATATAACTACTCCGTCAAAGAGATAGAACGTATGCGAAACGACTATGCTGACTTAAAGAAAGAAGCAGAGAAACCAGCAGAAAACAAAATGGACATGTTAGCATTTCTAAACAAAAACTATCCAACTGCTGACGATTTCCTTCTTTCAGATGTCAAGAAGAAATATAAAGAAACATTCGGCATTGTGAAAACTTTTGACATACTGACAGAGGAAATCGAAGCCACAAAATTGTTTAAAGTCATGAACCATCGCAACATATACCATGTAAAACGCTTGTAAATAGTTATGTTAGAAAAGTGGTTAGAAAACGTGTTAGATCTAACATGCTAACATAAAATATATTTTTATTGAATTCCGTATGAAATTTCATGAGTTTTGTGTGTTTTAGACCATGTTAGAAAAGAGGTTAGAAAACGTGTTAGATCTAACATGCTAACATAAAATATATTTTTGGTTCATTTACACTCGTTACGATGAAGAAGTCTTGACATTTTCCCGACTGTTGTCAAAATGTCATGTTGTCTCATTTTTTAAAAGAAGTTAGTTTACCTGGTAGCACATGGTAACATGGTAGCACCTACAGTTCTTCACCTAAAATATATTTTTATTGAATTCTGTATAAAATTCTGAGTAAAATGGCATATGGAACACATACTTTTTCAGTAAGGACATATGGGGTGAAAAAACAGGTGAGAAAACAGGTGAGATCTAACATGCTAACATAAAATATATTTTTGGTTCATTTACACTCGTTACGATGAAGAAGTCTTGACATTTTCCTGTGTTGTTGTCTAAATGTCATGTTGTCTCATTTTTTAAAAGAAGTTAAATTACCTGGTAGCACATGGTAACATGGTAGCACCTAAAAACTATCCAACTGCTGACGATTTCCTTCTATCTTAAGGAAATTCATGAAAATTCAACGGGTGAAAAAAGAGGTGAAAAAAAGAGGTGAGAAAACGTGTTAGATCTAACATGCTAACATAAAATATATTTTTGCTGAAAAAAATGACCAAATTTCATGAGTTTCCTCATATGTTTGCTTCCCTCGGAAAACCGAGGAACGAGATTCCGTACGAAAATCGTAAAAAACAGCGACCCAGACTTTTTTCGGGGTCGCCTAAAACTCATGAAAATCGTAAAAAACAGCGACCCTAGTTTTTTCGAGGGTCGCCAAAACTCTATGAAAATCGTGAAAAACAGCGACCCTAGTTTTTTCGAGGGTCGCCTAAAACTCATGAAAATCGTGAAAAAAATGACCAAATTTCATGAATTTCCTCATATGTTTGCTACCCTCGAAAAACCGAGGATAGAGATTCCGTATGAAAATCGTAAAAAAAATGACCAAATTTCATTATATAACTGTTATTTTTTACGAAGAGAACTTTTGCACTTCGTAAAAAAAATCCCTGAAATCATATCTTTTATACAAGATAGAAAATCTTACTCGCCTAAAACTCTATGAAAACAGTGAAAAACAGCGACCCTAGGTTTTTCGAGGGTCGCCTAAAACTCATGAAAATCGTAAAAAAAATGACCAAATTTCATTATATAACTGTTATTTTTTACGAAGAGAACTTTTGCACTTCGTAAAAAAAATCCCTGAAATCATATCTTTTATACAAAATAGAAAAAATAACGTTAGTTTTTTTAAAAAAATATTTTTTATTTTGTATGTAAAGACAGAAAATGTTAAAGGTTGAGTTTGAAACAGTTAGAAAGATAGACAATGACACCAAAATGGCTAGAATTGGTGATTTAAACGTAAGATACTCAAAGAAATACAACAAATATTCTTTGTCAGACATTATAACACCATCTGAAAAGAAACCACACGACTGGGTTAGAATTGCTTCAACTCAGAAAATTTTGACAAGAAATCCTGAGCTTATGATATCGGTAAGATTCTATGGAACTACAGCATATCTTATAGACAAAAGTCTTATACCAATAGTTTTGTTATGGTTAGACCCAGTTGTTGGATATAACTTCATAACATATGGTTCATTCGATACGGAACGTTGCAGTGAAGGCTTACTTTACATCGTTCAGAAACCGAAGGACTTCAATACAAAGAGATATAAGATAGGAAGAACATATAATATAACTCAAAGATATGACAGTACAGTCAATAGAGTCAAGGTTGTGTTTGTTAATGATATGAGAGCTGCTGAAACAGAACTACTTGAAAAGTTTGAGAAAATGTATGGTGCTCCCACGAAAGGTAAAGAAACGTTTGAAGTAGATGAGATAGGTAAAGCTATAAAATTATTTGACGAAGTTGCTGAAAAATACATGTAAAGCGTTTATTTTTGGTCTTTTGTGAAAGTCAGGAAATAACGCTAATTTTTTCTAACAAATTTTTTTATTTTGTATGTAAAGACAGATATGACAACAACAGAGAACACAACAACTGCTATCGTTCATGAAGCCATAAATGAAGAATACGAGTACATACAGTATAACAAACAGTTACGTCTCATTCGTTCGGTCAAAGACGATATGTACCAAATGCAAAGTATT